GCGAGAGCTGATTTTTGCTGTTTAGTTTCTTTTGATGTATTACATGTATATTCAAGCCAAGGGCTTAATGTGTAGATGAGTTAGCATCCTTTTGTTGTAACCAAGTGTTAACTTGGAAAGCTGTAAGCCCGTAGGGCATTTTGCTTTTGTTGTTAACATGTAATACTAATGTAATGAAACTCTGATTAATAGAAGAATGTGGATATTTTGCATGTCAAGGAATGTCTCAATTGAGGGTTTAATGTTATTATTTTGAGGGCGTTACAATACCCTACTCCATCTTATGGGTTTTGTCATAAGTTTTGGTTATTTTGATATGTTGGTGTTGTTTGGTAATTTTGGGAACAGTAGGGTTCGAATTGAAATTTGAGAAAAAAGGAGTTTTTCATATATTAAACTCCATGTGTTTGTAAGTCATGAAAAATGACATTGATAGTGTCAAATTGAGAAAATTGAACCTTAGGATTGATTTTTTTGAGGAAAGGGGGAAAAGCCCTAATTGTTGTAATAAATTAATTTGTATAATTAATTTTTGGGAAAATATGGAATTAAGTTTAATTCATGAAAATGTTGAGATTATATCTGTTGATGCATTTATTTCCTGTTTAGAAATAACTGTTTTGAGCTATCAGTAGAGGATAGTCGTGATTGTTGTAGACATTGCATGCTGATTAGGGAAAACTGAAACTAATCACATTGAATAAGTCACTGAATATGACGGTTGAATTAATACAGCAAATACGTGTATTGATTGAATATTATATATGACAAGTGTTAAATACATTGTATATGCATATTGTTTGGGAGGAGATAGGGGATGTACTCCATGGTTTGAGGGAAGATAGGGGATGGACTCTCAAACCTGTTTGGGAGGAGAAAGGGGATGGACTCCACTAGTACAGCAAATATGTGTACTTATTGATTTATGGAAGTATTTTAGTATGAGCCTTAGCCTCATTTGAATTGTTGATATTGGAGGTAATATTAGTATGAGATGTAGTCTCATTTTATTGTTTGGCCAGGTTCTGAGCCATGTTTGTATAATGGAAAGTTAGATAAATAATGGAAAGTGAAACGTATCATGGACATAATGGTCATGAAACTGTATTGTGATGCAATTGATTTTTAAGTGTTAACCATCTACCGAATGCTATTACTTTAGTCAATTCTTGTATTTGGTTTAGTATATCTCTGCTGGGCTGTGGCTCACCCTATATGGGAAAATCATTTTCAGGTCCAGGTGATATGCTACCTCCAAGGATTTAGATTGGAAGGAGTTGGAGTTAAAGACTCTTTTTAGTTATTTTGTTATTTTGATATTAGATGTAAATTCAAGCCACAGGCTTAATATGTAGATGAGTTAGAACTCAGTTTTTGTGTCCAAGTGTTGGCTTGGAAAGCTGTAAGCCCGTAGGGCATTTACTTTCGTTGTTACATGTAATGTCTTTTAATAAGAATACTCTGATGAATGGAAGAATGTTTTATTCTCTTATGTCAATGCTTGTCAATATTGTATATATTATGGGTCTATTTTGAGGGCGTGACAGAATTCATACATATTTTCCTTTGGCTAATATTGTAATTTCAACGTAGACCCCTAGCATATCCACCATGCAATTATTTTACTTTTATTTAGATTTGGATAGAAAGAGAATATTCAAATAAGCTTCAAATTTAAAATTGTAATGGGAAAAGAATTTTTTTTTTTCTGCGCACACTTTCCCAGGGCAAGGGTTAATAAAATAAAAATGGAAAATCAAACCTGGCGGTTGAACAATGGTTGTGCTTCAGATCTTGTTGGCCCATTGTAGAAACTTTTAAGGTTCACCAACTCAGAAAGGTTAAGAGTTGATAATTGAGAGAACATGATGATATCATTCCAAGTGGTTCCTCCTTTTTCTTTCTCCGAGACTATCGCTTCCATCCTTGGACAATTATCTATGTTGAATTTTTCGAGATTTTGCAGTCGTGGCAGCATATAGAATTGGACCACATGTACCAGTTTCTCACAACTAGAAACCATCATATCTTTCAACCGGCAGAAGGACTTTGATTCAGTTTCTGAGGCTATGAGTAATTGCTTGTCCCATATATCTATTATGTTAGGCAATTTCTTAATTTCCAAATCCTCCAAGACGGGAAAAGCAACCTGTAAAGTAATTGACAACAAATGTAGCTAGTGACTGTCACAAAATTGTGGATGAGCAACAACTTATAATTGCAACAGTTTACAAACACATGCTTAAACGTGTATGAGCGGAAATGAGAAGCATTAGGCAGGCAAATTGATAATTTCATATCACCATATTCTTTTGAAATATTTATTCTATTGCTTAATTATTAACTGAGCACCTTTTTGATTTCGGCACTTCACATTATTTTCCATCTTTCACAATTATTTTTCTATTTGACTTTAAGAATTTGTGTTCCATAATCTTATTAGTTATTTTTTAGATAAGGCAAATTATGTTGTAGATTTGAGTATTGGACTTATGAAAAAGAAGAAAATTTTATTTTAAAAATTAACCACGGTGCCTTGATAATTTTTTCTTTTAATAATTTCATATTTAATTTAATATTCGTTTTCTTGGCATATCTATTTAAGTGAAAATGGTAAAACAAATCAAATTATTTGAACTCGATTTATATTCGACTCAATAAAAAACAATTCAAGAATGACTTATTATATAAATAAGTTGAAATTGAACACATTTTGGAATTCGCCGATTTTTTGAGTGCAGTTCGAACTCAGTTCTACAAACTTAAATGGGCAGCAAAACACCAAGTTGGTCGAACTCCATTCGACTAAAACTCGTTTGGGTTCGGCAGAAATGATAAAGAAGACAAACTTATGTATATTTTAGTCAAATAAAATCATATTAAGATTCATATTCAAAATAAAAATATGGTGTATTAGAATTCGTACATATTTTTGTTTGGATAATATTGTAATTTCCATCGTAGACCCCTAGCATATCCACCTTACAATTATTTTACTTTTATTTGGATTTGGATAGAAAGAGAATATTCAAATAAGCTTCAAATTTAAAATTGTAATGGAAAAAGAATTTTAATTTTTTTTTCTGCGCACGCTTTCCCATGGCAGGGGTTAATAAAATAAATAAGGAAAATCAAACCTGGTGGTTGAACAATGGTTGTGCTTCAGATCTTGTAGGCCCGTTGTAGAAAGTTTTAAGGCTCACCAACTCAGAAAGATTAAGAGTTGATAATTGAGAGAAGACGATGATATCATTCCTGGTGGTTCCTTCTTGATTTTCTTTCTCCGAGACTATCGCTTCCATCCTTGGACAATTATCCACGTTGAATGTTTTGAGATTTTGCAGTAGTGGGTGCATATTGAATTGGACCACATGTACCAATTTCTCACAATTAGAAACCTTCATATCTTGCAGTTGGCAGAAGGACTTTGATTCATTTTCTGAGGCTATGAGTAATTGCTTGTCCCATATATCTATTATGTTAGGCAATTTCTTAATTTCCAAATCCTCCAAGACGGGAAAAGCAACCTGTAAAGTTATTTACAACACATGTGGCTAGTGACTGTCACAAAATTGTGGATGAGCAGCAACTTATAATTGCAACAGTTTACAAACACATGCTTTAAACGTGTATGAGCGGAAATGAGAAGCATTAGGCAGGCAAATTGATAATTTCATATCGCCATATTCTTTTGAAATATTTATTCTATTGCTTAATTATTAACTGAGCACCTTTTTGATTTCTGCTCTTCACATTATTTTCCAACTTTCATAATTATTTTTCTATTTGACTTTAATAATTTGTGTTCCATAATCTTATTAGTTATTTTTTAGATAAGGCAAATTATGTTGTAGATTTGAGTATTGGACTTATGAAAAAGAAGAAAATTTTATTTTAACAATTCACAACGGTGCCTTGATAATTTTTTCTTTTGATAATTTCATATTTAATTTAATATTCATTTTCTTGGCATATCTATTTAAGTGATGATGGTAAAACAAATCAAATTATTTGAACTCGATTTATGTTCGGCCCAATAAAAAACAATTCAAGAATGACTTATTATGTAAATAAGTTAAAATTGAACACATTTTGAAATTCGCCAATTTTTTGATTTGAGTTCGAACTCAGTTCTATAAACTTAAATGGGCAATAAAATTCCAAGTTGGTTCAACTCCATTCGATTAAAACTCGTTTGGGTTTGGTTGAAATGGTAAAGAATACAAACTTATATATATTTTAATCAAATAAAATCATATTAAGATTCATATTCAAAATAAAAGTATGGTGTATTAGAATTCATACATATTTTTGTTTGGCTAGTATTGTAATTTCCATCGTAGACCCCTAGCATATCCACCTTGCAATTATTTTACTTTTATTTGGATTTGGATAGAGAGAGAATATTCAAATAAGCTTCAAATTTAAAATTGTAATGGAAAAAGAATTTTAATTTTTTTTTCTGCGCACGCTTTCCCATGGCATGGGTTAATAAAATAAAAAGGGAAAATCAAACCTGATGGTTGAACAATGGTTGTGCTTCAGATCTTGTAGGCCCGTTGTAGAAACTTTTAAGGCTTACCAACTCGGAAAGATTAAGAACTGATAATTGAGAGAACACGATGATATCACTCCTGGTGGTTCCTTCTTCTTTTTCTTTCTCCAAGACTATCGCTTCCTATAGCGATTCCAGTTTTCCCTTTTTGTATTTGTTGTACTCCGGACTTTGGTTCGTGGAGTTGGTGGTTGTATACCTTGTTATCATCCTTTAATTCCTTATGTTTGAGTTTTAGGATGTGTTGGGCGTGTTTCGAACAGGTGGGTTGAGTTTCGGTCTCAAATGTAGTTGCCCAAGTTTTTGATGTTACGCTCGAGCGGGTCATTCTGCGCTCGAGCAGAGTTTGGTTTTCGGTTGTACGCTTGAGCGGGCCTTCTTGCGCTCGAGCAGGGTTTACACACCCCCAGTATTTCGTGCCTCTACAAAACTTCTGTAGGTGTGTTTTTCATGCTCGAGCGAGTATGTTGGCGCTCGAGCGGGTAGTACTTTGTCTGTGAATGTTCTGGGAGGGGGAAATCTACGCTCGAGCAGACTACTATTCACGCTCAAGCGGATGTACTTTATTCTTGTGTCTTGGCGCTCGAGCGGGCCTTCTTGCGCTCAAGCGTGTCCAGATTTTGTGTTTGACACTCGAGTGTTCTATTCTCCGCTCGAGCGGGAGTGTCGTATATCAGATGGCAGCTAGGCATTTTTGAATCACTTTTTACACTCACACTCTCTCTCTTACTTTCTAAAAACCGATTTTGAGAGCTCTTCTCTCTAGAAAATACCTTCTCTCAAGGGATTGATCTAGTTAGAGTGTTCTCCTATCCGTCGGCCTTTGTAAAAAGTGTGTTGATCGTCGAGGGCTTTGTTTTGATCCGAGAAATTGTGGATTTGGAGCACTTTGAATTTCTTCATCTCCTCCATTTGAGCTCTAACTTCGAGGTAGGGATATCCTACTCCATCTTATGAGCTTTGTCTTTAAATTTTGGCATTTCGATATGTTGGGGGTTGTTGGGTAATTTTGAGAAAGTTTGGGGTCATTGTGTAATTTTCAAAAGAGGGGTTTTCAAAGTTTAAAACCTTTATGTATGTAATACATTGGAAAATGAACTTGGTGTTGGATTGTTGATGAAAAAGGAACCTTAGGGTTGATATTGTGAATTTGGGAAAAAGCCCTAATTGCATGATAAATTAATTGGTATAATTAATTTTGGAAAATGAGAAATTGAATAGGAAATATTCAAATTAGAATGATATGGGATTAAAAGGTGTAGTTGGATTAATTTATCGCTCACCTAGGCAAATGTTGATAATTTATCTATTTGGTGCATTTATTTTCTGTTTAGAAATAATTGCATGGGGCTATCGTTGGAGGATAGTTTTGATTGTTGTAGATAATGCATGATGATTAGGCAAACGAGAACTAATCAATTGAAAGTGCCATCGAATATGACTGTGATATAATAAATTAACCTTATGTATTGATTGAATGTGCATATGATCTGTGTTTATATACATTGTGTTGTGTGGGAGGAGATAGGGGATGTACTCCACAGTTTAGAGGAAGATAGGGGATGGACCTCTAAACTGGAAATTGTTGATATTGATACAGCACTACAATGTGTATCAATTGTGAAATATGGAAGTGTTTTGTTACATTGATACAGCACTAAAATGTGTATCATTTGTGAAGTGTGGAAGTGTTTTGTTATATTGATACAGCACCAAAATATGTATCATTTGTGAAGTATGAAAGTGGTTTTATGCGTTATTGATACAACACCAAAATGTGTATCTATCATGAATTTTGAAAGTAATTGAGCGATGAGTTATAATCTCATTAAGTTATTTGGGCCAGGTTCTGAGCCTTGTTTTCAAACTGAAAGTTGAATAAGAAATGGAGACTAAAATGTAACATGGGCATGATTGCCATGAAACTGTAATATGACATGAGTTGGACTATAAGTGTGGGCCATCTATCGAATGCTATTATTTTAGTCATTGTTTATAGTTGGTTTAGTATATTTCTACTGGGCTGTGGCTCACCCTATATGGGACATGATTTTCAGGTACAGGTAGCATGCCACCTCCAAGGACGTAGCTTGGGACGCTTAGTGGCTGGGATTACTTTTGTTATATTACATGTATATCAAGCCAAGGGCTTTCTTTGTATAAAGTTAGCACTCTTTTTGTAACCAAGTGTTGACTTGGAAAGTTGTAAGCCCATAGGGCATTTACTTTTGTTGTCAACATGTAATACATTTTGTAATGATTACTCTGATGGAATATATTTATGCTTTATTCTCTTATGTCTAAGCATGCTATTGTTGGTTGATTTATGGGTTTATTTTGAGGGCGTTACACTTCCATCCTTGGACAATTATCCACGTTGAATGTTTTGAGATTTTGAGGTTGGACCACATGTACCAATTTCTTACAATTAGAAACCTTCATATATTTCAGTTGGTAGAAGGACTTTGATTCATTTTCTAAGGCTATGAGTAATTGCTTGTCCATATCTCTATTATGTTAGGCAATTTCTTAATTTCCAAATGCTCCAAGACGGGAAAAGAAACCTGTAAAGTAATTTACAACACATGTAGCTAGTGACTGTCACAAAATTGTGGATGAACAACAACTTGCAACAGTTTTTGAACGCATGCTTTAATCGTGTATAAGCGGAAATGAAAAGCATTAGGTAGGCAAATTGATAATTTCATACCTCCATATTCTTTTGAAATATTTATTCTATTGCTTAATTATTAACTATGCACCTTTTTGATATCAGCTCTTCACATTTTTTTCCATCTTTCATAATTATTTTTCAAATTGCCTTTAATAATTTGTATTCCATATTCTTATTAGTTATTTTTTAGATAAGGCAAATTTTGTTTTAGATTTGAGTATTGGACATATGAAAATGGAGAAAATTTTATTTTAAAAATTCACCACGGTGCCTTGATAATTTTTTATATTGATAATTTCTTATTTAATTTAATATTCATTTTGTTGGCATATCTATTTAAGTTAAGATGGTAAAACAAATCAAATTATTTGAACTCGATTTATATTCGGCTCCTTAAAAAACAATTCAAGAATGACTTACAATATATATAGCGATCCCGGTTTTCCCTTTGGCATTTGTTGTATTCCGGACTTTGGTTACGTGGAATTGGCAGTTGTATACCTTGTTGTCATCCTTTACTTCTTTTGTTTGAGTTTTGGGATAGGTTGAGTATGTTTCGAGCAGGTGGGTTGAGCCTTGGTCTAAATTCTTGTTGCCAGGTTTTTAGTCGTTCCGCTCGAGCGGGTCGTATAGCGCTCGAGCGGGGTTTACACCCTTCCAGCATTTCGTGTCCCTGCAACACTTCTGTAGGTGTGTTTTCTATGCTCGAGCGGGTTGCGCTCGAGCGGGCTTGTTGGCGCTCGAGCGGGTAGTACCTTGTTGGTGAAAGTTCTGGGAGACAAAAATCTACGATCGAGCGGACTGGTCTTTCGCGCTCGAGCGGGTATGCCTTGTCTTTGTGTCTTGGTGCTCGAGCGGCCTTTATTGCGCTCGAGCAGACCCAATTTTCTGTTCTTGACGCTCGAGCGTTGTGTTTTCCGCTCGAGCGGGAATGTTGTATATCAGTTGGCAGCTAGGCATTTTAAAATCACCTTTTACATTCTCTCTCTCTCTCTTACTTTCCAAAAAGACATTTTGAGAGCTCCTCTCTCTAGAAACTCCCTTCTCTCTAGGGTTTGATCTAGTTAGAGTGTCTCACTATCCTCCGGCCTTTTTTAAAGTTGTGTTGATCGTCGAGGGCTACGTTTTAATCTGAGAATATTGAGTTTTGGAGCACATTGAGTTTCTTCATCTTCTTCCCTTGGGCTCCGAATTTGAGGTAGAGATTCCTACTCACTCTTATGGTCTTTGACATAGATTTTTGGTTGTTTTGATAAAGTGTGGAAGTTGGGTAAATTTTGGGACTTAGGGTTTCAAAATCTTAAAAGAGGGTTTGTTATTTTGATTCTAAAAATGTGTACTGTGAGTTTCAAAATAATGATATTGTTGTTGATTGGCGATATATAGACCATTGGGTCAATATTGGGAAATGGGGTAGAAAACCCTAATTTGTTGTATAAATTAATTGGTATAATTAATTTGAGAAAATTGTGGACTTGTGGAATCGAGTTGGAAATAATGAAATTGGCTCATTATGTTATGAAATGGTGGAGTTGGATTTATTAATCGCTCACTCTTGAAAACATTGATATTTTATCTGTTGAAGCTTTTATTATCTGTTTAGAAATAATTGCTTGGGCTACCGGTGGAGGGTAGTTTTGATTGTTGTAGACAATGCATGATGATTAGGCAAACTAAAACTAATCAATTGGTTTTGTCATAGAGTATGACGGTTGATAGAATACATTAACGTTATGTATTGATTGATATATGACCTATGTGTATATACGTTGTGTGTGTGGGAGGAGATAGGGGATGTACTCCACGGTTTAGGGGAAGATAGGGGATGGACCTCTAAACCAGATGTTGTTTAGAAGGAGATAGGGGATGGACTCCACTGATACAGCTCATATGCTTGTCAGATAATGTGGTGATACAGCTCATATGCTTATCTATGGAAGTGTTGATACAGCTCATATGCTTATCTTTGGAAGTGTTGATATAGCTAATATGCTTATCTGTTGAAATGTGGATACAACTTGTATGCTTATCTATAGTGATCCCGGTTTTCCTTTTCGTGCTTAACTGTAATCCGGATTCGATTTCGTAAGGGTGCTGTTGTCTTATCCTCTTTCTATCCCTTTCTCTGTGTGTTCGAGCTTGGGGTTGTGTTGGGCAAGCTGGGAATAAGTTGGTTGCGTTTTAAAACGTAAAGTCTTTGCCCAGTTTTTGGTCTTTTCTCTCGAGCGGCGATTTTGACGCTCGAGCGGGACTCTGTTGTTGCTTGTCCGCTCGAGCGGGGGTGTTGGCGCTGGAGCGGGAAAATCACCCATCCAGTATTTCGTCTGCAGTGGTATACGCTTGAGCAGGGGATTGGACGTTCGAGCGGGAGTATGTGTCTGACGCTCGAGCGGGGAGTTTGACGCTCGAGCGGGCATCATGTCTGTAAAAGTTCTGGGAGTGTGCATCCGCCGCTCGAGCGGGGGATTGGACGCTCGAGCGGGGATCTGTGAGTGACGCTCGAGCGGGGATGTTGCCGCTCGAGCGGGGCAACTTTTATATAAAGCCGAGATCCGACCTTTTTGTTCACTTTTCAACATCTTTTCTCTCTCTTACTTTTCCAAAAAGGTATTTTGAGAGCTCCTCTCACTAAAACCCTAACTTCTCTCTTAGGATTGATCTAGTAGGAGTTGTTTTCTCACCTTGGGCCTTTACAAAAGTTGTGTTGATCGTCGAGGGCTATCTTTTAATCTGAAAATTTCGGGATTTGGAACATTTCCGTTTCTTCATCTTCTTCGTTGCGTCCCATCATTCGAGGTAGGGATATCCTACTCCTCTTTATGAGCTTTGTCATTGAATTTTAGCATTTTGATATGTTGGGGGTTGTTGGGTAATTTTGAGAAAGTTTGGGCCTTTCTGTAATTTTACAAGAGTTGGGGTTTTAAATATATAAACCTATATGCAAGTTAGGCATAGAGAAATGAGATTAATGTTGGGACATTGATGGAAATGGAACCTTAGGGTTGTTTGTGAATTATGGTAATTTGCCCTAATTGGTTTAATTAATTAATGCATATAATTAATTGAAGAAAGCGAGGAATTGAATTGAGAATGTTGAAATTGGGAATGTATGGGATTAAAGAGTGTAGACGAATCTTTTATTGCTCATCTAGTTGTAACGTTGATATATTATCCAGTTGTGCATTTATTTCCTGCTTAGAAATAATTGCTTTGGGCTACCCATGGAGGGTAGTGATGATTGTTGTAGACAATGCATGTTGATTAGGCAAACTAAAACTAATCATTTGGTTGTGTCATAGAGTATGACGGTTGATAGAATACATTAACTTTATGTATCTGTGGATTGTGCATGTGACCAATGTGTTTATATGCATTATGTGTAGACGGTTGATAGAATACATTAATTTTATGTATTGACTGATTGCATATGTGATTCTGTGTTTATATGCATTACTTGTGTATGGGAGGAGATGGGGGATGTACTTCACGGTTTAGGAGAAGATGGGGGATGTACCTCTAAACCGGTTAATGGTTTAGGGGAAGATGGGGGATGTACCTCTAAACCGGTTAATGGCTAAGTGGAGATGGGGGATGAACCCGGGGATGCAGCTCATATGCTCTCCCATCGTAGTGAAGATACAGCTCATATGCTTATCTTTGCGAAGTGTAGATATAGCTCATATGCTTGTCTAGTGAAGTGTAGATAGCTCATATGCTTGTCTAGTGAAGTGTAGATATAGCTCATATGCTTGTCTAGTGAAGCGTAGATATAGCTCACATGCTTATCTGTTGTAGTGTTGATACAGCTCATATGCTTATCTGTTGTAGTATTGATATCGCTCATATGCTTATTTGTTGGAATATTGATATAGCTCATATGCTTATCTGTTGTAGTATTGATATAGCTCATATGCTTATCTGTGGTAATATTAATATAGCTCATATGCTTATCTGTTGTAGTAGTGATATAGCTCATAAGCTTATCTATTGAAAAGTTTGTTGTTTTGATATAGCACTAAAATGTATATCATCATCGTTTGTGAAGTATGGAAGTAGTTTATGTGTTATTGATACAACACCAAAATGTGTATCCACTTCAAATTTTGAAAATGTTCTAGTGATGAACTATAATCTCATCAAAATGTTTTGGCCAGAGTACTGAGCCCTGTTTTCAAACCCAAAGTTGAACAAGAAATGAAAAGTGAATTGTAACGTAGACTTGGTTGTCATGGAATTGAAATAAGATGTAAATGGAAGTGTAAGTATCGACCATCTATCAGTTGCTAATCTTCTAGGCATTGTTTATAGTTGGTTTAGTATATCTCTGCTGGGCTGTGGCTCACCCTATATGGGAACATCATTTCAGGTACAGGTAGCATGCCACCTCCAAGGACATAGCTTGGGAGGCTAGAGGCGGACAGACTTTTGTTCTCTTATCTCCTTTTGATGTATTACATGTAAATTCAAGCCAAGGGCTTAATGTGTAACCGAGTCAATACTCTCTTTTATAACCAAGTGTTAACTTGGAAAGCTGTAAGCCCGTAGGGCATTTACCTTTGTTGTTAATGTGTAATACTTTTGTAATGAAGTACTCTGATGAATTGAGGAAATGTGGATCTTTTGTATATAAATGTATGTTTATATTGACGGGTTTAATGTTATTATTTTGAGGGCGTTACATTATCTGTTGAGATGTTGATACAACTAATATGTTTATCTATTGTAAAATGGGAAATGTTTAATATGAGCCACTGTCTCATACAAGTGGGTGGCCAAGTTCTGAGCCGTTGGTGTAAATTGTGAAATTGATATGACATGAAATATGAAATGA